CATATTTATCAGTGGCCTCTTTACAAAACCTTTAAATAGGTATCCTCCTTTCCAGAAAATGAAAACAAGAGAACCACCAATGCAGAAAAGTGTGCCAGCCACCTTAGCTTGACCTCTAGCAGTTCTAAACTTCAACTTCTCCAACCTGTGTAGGAACGAGCAAATTGCAGAACAGGAAAAAATAACATTTATATTCCCCTTTCTAATTAAGCAAGGGAAAGGAAAGGACAGAGAATATACCCAAGTAGAACTGCCATTAGAAATGTCAAGCTGGGAATAACATTACTCAAGGCACATGCAACTGTTGGAGAAGTGTATGCTAAACCAGCATAGTACACATTCAGATGGATGGTGGTTCCAAACAAGGCAAGCACAAAAATTTTGGCAGCTACAGAAAATGAGAGTGAAGGCCTTTGTTTCCTGCTTTACAAATCCATTCAAGAATTAGTTTTCTCTGTTTTTACTGCCTGGAAATATGAAGAGATGCAAGAATCGATAGCTTAACTTTCAAGTACATAAGCAAATGGTCCTACCAAAACCATGGCCATAACATGCCGCGGTAAACGAAGAAGACAATTGGATTGAGTTTTTCTGCAAGGGAGAATTTTATGAGGATGTTTGATCCACCATATATGAGCTGAACCAGTGCCATTGCCAAGTAATAAGAGCATCCCTCCATTGATATGGATATGAAACTTTCTTGGTCTAATTTAAAAATGGCGATCACTGCATCAAGTTTTAATGGGTTGGTTTTTAAGCGGAATTCACAATCAGTTTAGCAATTCTAAGAAGGCCTGACACCTTACTTTTTCCAGGGTTTAACTTCCCTGATGGTGCAACTATAAAGAACCATTTTTGGGGCATTTTTATTAGTGGAAATTATTTTTAAGTGTTCTTCCCGATTTTGGCTCAAAGACAAACATTTAAAAACTGAAGATTGTGCAAATGAAAGATTGGCCATCACATTTCTCACTTTAAAAATCAATAACCTGCATAAAATAATCCCAGAATTCCACAATTTATGTTTGGCAACAGAAACCCAAAATATAGTAAAACTTGCTCATCAAAATTTCCATACAAGATTTATAATATAAAAAAAGAAGAGTACAGATGAAAAACTCAAAATCAAAATCAGAAAAAGCACTCTTAACAAGTAGAAATCCCAAAAATCTAATCACTCCTCTTCTCACTTCTGGTTTAGTTCTTCACATGGCACTTCTGGTTTATGAGAGCAGCAGACCTCAACACCAACGCAGACCAGCCTAGACCCACGCAGGCCGCCTAGATCCCCCCCAGACCGCCTAGGGGCCGCCCAGATCCGCCTAGACCGCCTAGGGGCCGCCTAGATCCGCCCAGACCGCCTAGCAGCCGCCTAGCTCCGACCAGACCGCCTGGGGCCACCCAGATCCGCCCAGACCGCCTAGCTCGGCCCAGACCGCCTAACTACGAGTTCGAGTCTCTCTCCGTTGCTACCATGGCGCCCAATTTACGTATGTTTCTGATTTTGCAATTTTTTTTGTTTGTTTAAATGGAAAAACGATTATCGGAGAGTTTCTTCAAAGGATTTTAAGATTTTATAGCATCAGAGTTGCTATCATAGTGGAGATTTCAATAGCTGAACGACATTTGATGGTTTTCATGGAGAGGATTCAATCCAATCCAATCAACGCAGCAACCGAAACAAAAGAAAAAAATCGAAGCTTGAGTTGAGAGAGAGAGAGGTTCAAGACCGAGTCTTTGAAGCTTAGAAGCACTTATAGAGAAGCGAAATGGCTGTGACTGCGAGTGCAAGACCTGCATACCTCTAAAATAATATATTTAATGCTTACAACAAGTATAGCCGCGCGGCGATATCTTAAAAGTATTCGAATATATTTTAATAGTATAGCCAAACGGGCTATACACTTTACATATACAATTTTGTCATATTATTTTAGAGTTTAGAGCTAAAATACCAGTTCAGCTAATTGGGCTAGAGTTATTTCTTCAATTTATTTATTCTATAATCTATTAAATATTTATTGCTTTTTAGATTTTTATATGGACGATTTGGTGCTTCCTTCTTGTGTAGTCTGAAAAACAATATATTAATACATTATATATATATATATATAAAGCATAAGACAGAGAATTGTGAAACATTCAAAATACCAGAAAATACCCTTAGTTAATTTAAACATTAAGAATTGAAATTATTAATTAAATGAGGATAATATGGTAAATTCACATTTTTTCATATTAAAAAAATTAAAATTAAAAACAAAATCAAATAATATGTCCTACTTTTATAGAACATAACTACACATGTTATCTTTTCTTAAATCTAAAAATAAAATAAAAAATAAAAAATAAAAAATAAAACCAATTATTATACAAAAATGTACAAAGTTATATCATGCTGACGGAATTTGTCTCAAAATAAATATGTTTGATTAATGTTGTCGACATTATATTAACTACCAAAAAAGTGGTCGACTCTAACCTTAAAATGATTGACTCGTCAAAGATTCATCGTAAAATTCAATATGCAATCGATGAATACTTTCATTCTCAAGTTGCAACTTTTTTTATAACCAACCGACTAAAACAAAACCTTCCTTTTAGCCATCAAAATTAAATTCGAACTCGTACAAGAATCTTGGAACAATGAGATTTTAATCCAATAGAAGTTGAGCAAGTTCATAGTTTAACAAGAACGATGCGAGATTGAGTTTGTCCTCCCCTCTCTATTCTCCCGGACATCCGTCACCATTCTTCATTCTCATGTAGTAACTATTTTACCGCCTCTTTATCACCATATATAATGGCGTAGCCAGAAATTGAGGTTAGAGAGGGTCATTTTACAAAATATAAAAATAAAGGGACTGAAAGTATAAAAGCTACAGGTTCTTGTGTTGTGGGGCTTCTTGAAAATGAGAGTGAAATGACTTGAAAAGAGAGAGAGAGACTTGAGTGCCTGGACCCCTCTGGTTCCTACATGACTCCGCCACTGACCATATCTCTTAGTCTACAACTACATGGAGACCGTCACCATTCCTCATTCCCATCCCGCCACCATTCCTCCCTCGGTTCGTTGCCACATTGCACATTCCGGAAACGGTTATTTTTCTAGTTGGTAAAAAAAATTATTATTTTGTTGATTTCCACTTGGACTCTTTATTTGCAGCCACGTGTCTAATTCTAACTGGATGAGGTGTAATAGGAAGCACCAAGCCCGCAATCCTCCGAGATGTGACTCGTAACAGGCCACGCCTCCTCCCCTCCAAACTCACCCACCCCGCGAAAGCTTTAAAGACTCCACCATGTTCATGTCGACCCTCACAACGCCCTCTCTCTCCAATCTCATCCCTGCCCGTCTGCCTTCGACAGCAATCAACAATGGGTGTGAAGCTCAACTCCGGACCAACGATCGAGGTCAACGGCCTCAAATTCACCTACCCAGGAATCAACGGCCATCCTCCACCGGGCTCCAAGCCTCTGATCGAGGACTTCAACCTCACCCTCAACGCTGGCGATCGGTGCCTCCTCGTCGGATCCAACGGCGCCGGCAAAACCACGATCTTGAAGATCTTGGGAGGCAAGCACATGGTCGAGCCCCACATGGTTCGCGTGCTCGGAAGGTCGGCGTTTCACGACACCGCCTTGACCGGCTCCGGCGACCTCTCCTATCTCGGCGGAGAGTGGAGGCGAGATGTGGCTTTTGCAGGGTTTGATGTCCCGATACAGATGGACGTTTCGGCCGATAAGTTGATCAATGGGGTATCGGGGGTCGACCCACAAAGGAGAGCAGAGCTAATAAAGGTCCTGGATATTGATCTTTCATGGAGGCTGCACAAGGTCTCCGATGGTCAGAGAAGACGAGTACAGATCTGCATGGGCCTGCTCAAGCCATACAAGGTACTTCATTTCCAGGTTTGATAGTTTCGTAGGTGTTTTTTTAGTGTGTTTTTTTAATGCTCACCAAGTGTTTGATAATTTGTTGTCGAAATGAAATAGGTTCTTCTGCTTGATGAGATAACTGTGGACCTTGATGTGCTAGCAAGAGCTGACCTTCTCAAGTTTTTGAGAAAGGAATGTGAAGAGAGAGGCGCCACAATCATTTATGCTACACATATATTTGATGGGTTGGAGGATTGGCCTTCACATATTGCTTATGTAGCTAATGGAAAGTTGCAGCTAGCTCTGCCTATGGATAGAGTTAAGGAGATGTACAAGTTGTCACTCATGGTTAGTCAAAAGGGTAACTTCAATTTACATTCAATTTCTAATTGTTTAGCTCAATTTACAGAGATTGGATTGGGTTTGATTTGCAGAGAACAGTTGAGAGTTGGCTGAGGAAGGAACGTGATGAAGAGAGGAAGAGAAGAAATGAGAGAAAGGCAAAGGGCCTTCCTGAGTTTGAGCAACCAAATGAGGGAAGTGGCGGTGATGTTCGTGCAGTGAATAATGGCTGGGCAGCCGGACGCTTGAATTCCACCATTGCTGGAGAAGAGAACTTTGTCTTCAGCTCAAATAGAGTTCTAAGGCAATAGTGGATATACTTTGCCACTCAAAATCTTGGCAATATTTGCTTACACTTGATCTGATTTTCCCATAGTTATGGGACCTTGAAACCTTTGTATTTCAATCTATTTGTACCTTGTATTCAATTTTAGTGTGTATTTCAATCTGTTTGTATTCTTTATGTAACGAAAAATGCCATGAGCTTGGCTTCTCTCCATGTAATACAATCATTATTTATTGATAAAACCACACCATTTTACAGCCAACAAGAAACACAAAGAATAACAATGAAATAATTAAACCATACTAATAAGGGATACTAATAATAATCATGAATTAGCAGCAGCTAGCCGTTTCTTTAATTTAACGTGTCACGCCGCAATTGGATAAGAAGCTTCCCTAGCAATGCCACAGAGTCCTTCCTTGGCAAGAACGTCTCTCTGCAACCTCATGTATCCCCTCTCCCCCCAATCTTCTCCCCAAGAATTCTTGATCAGCCAATACTTGACCCCATCATCACTTGTACCGTATCCAACAATAGTCACAGCATGGGTTAAGTCTGTACCACATGGTCCACCGTACACACCGCCAGAATATTGCTGGAATTCAACGGTGTTGGCATCAATGGCAACGGAAACCGGCTGGTAGGCAACAGCCTTCAACAGAGCATTTTCGTCATTTTCGGGCACATTTTCAAAGTCGGTTATGGTTATGGCACCAGATGCATCAGTCTTGTTGTAATCATCAGCCTTGCAACTGCCTCCATCTACACCCTGGTAGGTGTAATCAGCTTCAGTTGCCAGGCTCCTGTTGCGCTCGATCATGTATTGGAAGGCATAACCAAAGTGACCACCACGGCAACCATCATTGTCCAGACCGACGTTGCAATCAACAAGTTCTTGCTCCGATAGCGAAACTAAGTTCCCTGTTTTGAGTTTGTTAAGCCCTTCTACAGCTGCCACTGCTGCAAACGCCCAGCCACACCCTATAACATCATCATCATAATATATTAATATTGAGACAACAAATGTGCATAATTAATCAAAAACTTGTTTAAAATTAAATGTGTGATTCAGATTCACAGTTTAACGGTAACGCTTTCTTAATCTTGCATGCTTACCGCATTCCCCTTGGTACTTGACAGGAGTCACAGCCCCCATTGAACTAAAGTTCACATCAGATGGCAAGTTAGTGACATTTTCATATCGAAAATGATCATTTGGAGCTACTTTCAGAGACTTGGAGATGATCGCTGGACCATGAAGTTGGCGACTAGAAAATGCTTGGGAGGAGAAAAAGGCCAAAATGAGGACAAGAGATGATGCCAAGCAGAGGGATTGGCCTTGGTTTGTGCTGAGCAGAAGAGGCATGATGATGATGATGAAGACGTATTTTTCAGAATGTAGAGGGTATTTTCAGTGCAGTTTGGAAATAGGATTTACTTTGTGGATTGGTACAACACATTGAAAATGGGCATGGGATTTTATACAAAAAATTGTGCAGGTCAACGTGACTTTTTACGTGTGTGATAACTCCCCAAGATTAATATTTTTACCGTGTGAATTTTAGATCCTCCCTGTGAGGGAGTAAATAATTTTTTATTTTTGAGCTAAAATCAAGGGAAATAAATGAATTGATTCAATCGATAGTCAGAGCTTGGTTTTCAGTCTTATCCATTTTACCAAGGTAACAAGAAAATTAGCGTGTCCTTCAATTAGGGTTTTGAATTATACGAAAAACACTTCCTCTGAATTTAATTAGCGTGTCCTTTTTATTGCAAACTTGAAGCCCAAAAAATCATAACGTTTATTGACATTTCATCTCGTTGGTTGTGTATGGAAAGCATATGAATCATGTTACATGGAAGTTCTACCCATTCTGGTGGGATCCAATGACAGCATAAGTAAAATACCATGGAAATTTATTGTCACGGGTTTGTTGTATTTGTATAGTTTACAAATGAAGTCTAATATTTTTTGTCTCATGATGAAAGATAAAAACGCCAATCATTCGAATATGACAGAAATGGTACCGATTCAACATCCATCCATTGATTGGAAATCTAAACACAACAGAATGTATGGAATGGCAGGGAGACTCTAAAAATCTTGAATTATTTAAATCTACAGGGCCAAACGGCATCAATCACTTTGTAGTAATTATCTAAACAAAATACATTCTTAGAATAGTAACACTAAGAAATTCATAAACACAAGATAATGACATTCCACTTTTGACACATTCAAAACAAGAGGCTGCTGAAGTTTTTGTCATCGTTTTAAGCCTGCAACCAAAGTAAATACAAGCAAGCAAACATGAGTTTCAGAACCATCAAAGACATTTTTACTGCAATGAAGCAACACGAGATACCCACCTTGTTTGCTATATTGTTGGAGAGCCAGTCAAGACCCTCATAGAGCCCTTCCCCAGAGGTGGCACATGTACTTTGGATGTACCTGAATCAATAACACAGAATGTATCAGATTTAATCAACATTTAATTGCTTTTTCTGTGTAAGTGAGAGAGAGAGAGAGAGAGAGAGAGTAATCATAGAAATTATGAAGAGAGTATTAAGTAAAATACCAGTGGCGTTGACGAAGAGAGTGAAGACCAAGTTTGTCAGTGATCTCAGCAGCATTCATTGCATTCGGAAGATCTTGCTTGTTAGCGAAAACAAGCAGCACTGCATCCCTCAACTCATCCTACAGATTCAAGGACTGACATAATCATATACATGAAAAAAAAAAAAATTGCTTTTAAAAGTCACGTGATGGATTTCAAATGACCTTTCATATATTTTAACAAACTTGGTGAAGGTCTAGTACGTTTTCCATCAATATAGCATGGTTTTATCTTAAAATAAGATCCTAAACTCTTTCTCCAAAAGAGCTTTCCAAAACAATCTTACTACACTTAGCATACAAATATAATGTGTTTCTAATTACTCTATTAAAAAATCTCTCAAGGGCCAAAAAACTAACAAAGCCTTCAAAAGTTTCAGTACCTCATTCAACATCCTATGCAGCTCATCCCTAGCCTCAACAACACGATCACGATCATTGCTATCAACCACGAAAATCAGCCCTTGTGTATTTTGGAAGTAGTGTCTCCATAAAGGTCGAATCTGGAGGGCCACACAAATATATAATGCACATGTAAGAGGGCACGATGCTCATGATCAATGATTGGTCAAAATCACTAAAGTATATAATTAAGTGCATAGACAAGCACACATATAGACCAGTTGCAAAAACAAAATGATATGCACAATTGAATAATCAACAAGTGCAAGACAGCAGATTTAACATTTGCTTAAAGAATAGAAAATGTATGCCAAAGCGTGGAAAGCATTTCCAATATATGAAGGAAAAACTTTATATAAATAAATAAAAAAAGTTGGCATAAGTAAATGTAGCTTATGATTATGTTATGTGCTGATGGAGAACAACTAATCAGCACAAGACCGTCAATAAGCACAAGCAAGAAGGAGATCAAACATATAATTAAATCATTAAAGTATAGAAGATGTCAGCAACAACAAGGATATCATTTCCCTATATGATAAGGAAAAGATAAAAAGACAAGTTGGCACAAGTAAATGTAGCTTATGATTATGTTATGTGATGATGGAGAACAACTAATCAACACAAGACCGTCATTAAGCACATAAATCCATAGAATGGATAACCATGGAAGAAGTATCTCATACTGCCATCCTAGTACCAAACCATCTAATTAGCATAGACCCTCTGCAAGAAAAAATACCAATAACTGCATCTACACAACTCAGTTTGCCTAAAGGCAATGTGAAATTTTCGCCACATCGTGGATAGCTTTTCCTCTCATTTATTGAGGAAGAACTTGAAAGACAAGGTGGCAACAATACATGTAGCTTATGAATTTGTTGTGTGCTAATGGAGCAATATCTAATCAGCACAAGACCGTCCATAAGCACTTAGGAAAAAAACAAACACCAATATTTACAAAACAACACATATGCGTATAAATTATAAATAACCATTATCGCTTGCATATTTAACAACATCCATCAAAGAAAATATCATTTGGAGACTTAAGTTTGATCTACAAGTGTATCCATATAATGCTAAAGGAGATATGTAATACATTCAAAATGTGCCATATCTTTTACACCATATAAAATTTAGATAACTTGTTAATGATTCCACAAACCTTGTCCTGGCCTCCAACATCCCAAACCGTAAAGCTAATGTTTTTATATTCCACAGTTTCAACATTGAATCCTGATACAATTGCAAACAGATATAACTTGTTAAAACCTAAAAACGGTACACTACTCATGTTAAATAAAAATATTACAACATGATAATAATATTGCAAATGATACCAATTGTTGGAATGGTGGTCACGATCTCTCCGAGCTTAAGCTTGTACAAGATGGTAGTTTTACCAGCAGCATCGAGACCGACCATAAGAATTCGCATTTCCTTTTTAGCAAAAAGACGACTGAACAACTTGGTGAAAGACAACCCCATTTTGAAAAGCTGAATTCAGAATTCAACAGTCAGATACAAGTTCATATATCATTAAGTCACAAACACTCAACTTGGATATTCAACTTATAGTGCATGGACGAAATCTAATGAAAAAAATTATACGAATTTGAAGGAAAAAAAAAAGTTACTAACATGCAGAATTGGACATTCATATGACTAAAGATCTGAACTTTCATCAAAATCCAAATATATCAAAAACAAATAGACACACAAATCCTTTGCGTTGGATATGGGCATATTTTTCAGATCATGTGACCAAAATCCTTTCTTTTTCTTTTTCTATGGGCTTATTGGCTTTCTATCAAATACTCTATTACAAATTTCTCAGTTCGAACAAATAGCATTCAGAACGACCCAAACAAGCACGACAATAATAGATCTAAAAACAGATGTAAAAGCTACCCATCAAATTCAAAATAAAAACAAAATCTTGACCTGAAATTTCACAAAAGAAAGTGAAATCCAAATAGCAGATTCACATCAAAACCCAAAAACAGATCTTGATTGAAAAAAGAGAAAACGCAGACTAATCATAAGCCAAAATAACGCTAACCCATTACTTCTAAACCAAAAGTACACTAACCTATAAACCAAATTTAATATGCCCTACTAATCTACATGAAAAATGTACAGGAAAATGTTATTGGAGAGAGAGAGAGAGAGAGAGAGAGAGAGAGAGAGAGACGGACCTTAGAAGGGGCAGATCTGAGAAGCTGCCCTAGAGAGAGAGGAGGTACGATGAGAAATGGGCTCCAGGATTGGGAGACTATTTGGGCATTTAAATATGTGGGAGATAACGATCTTTCTAACGACGTTTGGGGGCCGGGAAGGATTTGAGCAACGGTATTCAGACGTGAGGTGCCGTTAGGGTTCGGGTGAAATATAGTTATATTGTGTGACAAGGTGTAGAGTTGGGGGTGTGTATGCTCCAATGTGGTCCAATAGTTTATCTAATTGTTGATTTGCCCCTTAAAAAGCCTATTATACGGAATAAGTACGTTTTTAATGCTTCTCTTAAGAAGGAAGGGTGGAAATGAGGTGAGTTTTACTAGTTTGTTGTAAGTACAATCACTAGTTGGCTCTAAAAGATTAATTACACACGTTATATAGTAAATTTCATCGATTTGTACGTATATATGACTGATTTGTAAAATATATCAAGCACGTCATTTATAATGTACCTAGCTTGCTTATAAGAAATTTACAAGACTCGTGGTACAATTTGCCTAACTCTAATAAGAAATTTGCGAGACACATAAGCTCTACTCAATTTTTTTTTTTTTTTTTCAATTGGAACGAGACTCATTGTTATGTAGTAAGTTTCACTCAGGGTTTAAGCTTGAGGTCTATTTCTACTTGGCAGACTGCAAAATTATTTCACCATTATATGTATTCAATTCTGATTTTTGTGTCTCATCTTCCATGCATTGGGCATTAGCTATGGCACGTGGTTTGAGTTTGAAAGAGAACACATGGCTACTAATGTGCATTTGGTTAATGACAAATATATATATATATAGCAATTGGGTGGCGGGGGATTGCGGATGATGATCAATCAAAACTGAACCATGAGAACAAAACAAAAGAAGTAAAAGAAAGCAACTTCCCATTACAAAATCACATTACAGTTGGACAAACACAAGTACGACATGAAATTTGGAGTCATTTTTGCTAGAAGAAACTTCCAAATGCAGCTTAAAGAAAGCAACAACTGGTCCTTGTTGGCCAATCTAATATTACATTTATCTGGGAGGTTCATGAAGTGACCTCAGATAGAAAATGAAATGGCAGCATAGATTCGATGCAACAGGGGAAGTTTGCCTTTGCTGTTGTGTATCATCCCATAACGTCACTGTCGCTTTTCGAGTGCACTTGCA